AAGCTCTAAAAGCAAAAGGCTGCCCAAACGTTGTTTAAAGCACATAGTCATTGGAACAAATGATCCCGAGAACAAATGATCCCGATGCGTAATAATAGAGCTTGGTGTGATTGCACCGAGAAGTAATTTATATATAAGACACTCAGGAGGGTGAACCATCCTTGCAGTCGGTGTGGGATAAATTGAGGAGCAAAACTTTACATACGGAGTATTAAACAATCGTATGTAGTTGGTGTTTGGAGCCAGCTGCAAATTATGCAATCTCATCTCACCCACTCACCCACACCATCAATGAAAGCACTTTATATTACAAGTTTACAATATTATTTTACAACATAAATTTTATGATTAATATTATATTATTATAATACTGTTATTATTATATGAATATTACTATTATTTGACCCAAGTCACCATGAGTAACTTTTATAAGCATTAAAATTTAAACATAATTATAATCATTAAAATAACTAAGTTACTCTTTATCAACTATCCTTATTTGGTCATATACTATTTCTATTATTATTAGTATTATTATTATTAAAATTATTATTATTATTATTATTATTAAAATTATGCTTTTTCCATCACCCAGTTCATTATCTAGTTCTAATTTTTGCAACAAGCATGGTAAGAACTACTATTTGTGATTTTTAGAACTGTAGAAGTATACTTTTGTTATAAAGCGACTAACAAGCACAAAGCAGAAGCGAGAAGGACTCAACTCAGTAAAGCGACGAAGTCACGATGTCACAAACACAGGCACCCAGCCGCGCCGCCACCTGCTTTCCTGTCCCCTATGTCTTCGGTCGATCGTCGGTGTCCCTCTGGAGTCCGACACTCCAGCTTGTAGCTCGTTGTGGCTCTGCCCCTCTAGTCTATTCGAGTCCGACTAGCTGCCTCTAGTCGAGTCTAGTTGTCCAACCATCCACACATACTCTTATACTCTTTTAATCTATTATTTTGTGCATTAGTTTTATTTAATGGTTATGTAATTCTATTTGATTATTAATTTAATTTATGCTCAAACTCGGCTTGAATAAAATAGATATATGAACTCTATTTTTTTAGTGTTAAAATATATTAAAAAAATTGCAATGAAAATGTTTAAATTTTAAGATAAATAAAATTTATTCCTATAATTTACGAGTTATTGATAGACTCGAGTCCGGATCGAACCGAATACCACTATGCTCGAACTCAGCTTGAACAACTATTCGAACTCAAAATCTAGCTCGTGTTCGAGTTAAAAAAACTTCTTAAACTCAGATCGCTAAATTAAATTTGAAATCACGCTCGAATTCGCGTAGTTCGAAAAAAACTCAATTCGATTACGGCCCTAAGCAGCCTAAGCTAAACTTTTTGTTTGCAATAACAATTTTTTTCCTGCTAAGCCCACCCCACTCTTCATTCCTGGATCCGCCCCCGACCCCAAGCAGCAACTTTGAATCTCCCATCTATCTCATTTCTTATCTTTCTTCTCATTTCTTCTTCGATCACCGCCGCTGTGTCTTCTCCTTCACCATAGCCGCTGAAATTGACCAGCAACGAAGATCGAGGCGTCGTCTTCGATAGGTGCCTCCTCTGGTTCACTCTTCCTTGATAGCCGCCTCTGGTTCAATCGTCATTGATAGCCACCGCCGCTGCTGGATTCGCCGTTCTCGATTGAGCTAGGGTTGCACACTGCTGATAGCGGCAGCTAGGGTTACCGGATCTGGCAGAGAAGGAAGCTAAGGGTGACGGGCGGCGCCGGCAGTGGCCTGGTCGCGACGGGCTCATGGATGCGTGAGAGCAGTGGTGTACAACAGCTTGGGGGCGGCCGGGGTGTGGCGCAATGCGGTTGTGGTAGGGCTGGGGGAGGGTGGTTGGGGGCTAGTAGGGGGTTGGAGGCTGTTGTGAGGGGTGGAGGCTACCGTGTGGGGTAGGGGATGCTGGCTGGGGGCTGGGGTGACATCAGGGGTGTGGAGTGTGGTGGCCCGAGGTGGTGGTTAGCGGTTGTGTCGGGGTGGTGGTCACCGGTGGCACCGGCAGGACATAGTCGTGGCAACGGGACGGGGGCAGTGTCCAAGTCATGGTGGTGTCTAGTGACCGGTCGACAACGGGGTCACCGGGGGGCAAGGTCTCCGGAATGAGCGGCAACAGCAGTTACGGGAAGGGACTAGGCGGTGGCAATCACCTGATAGAACTTGCGGCAGTGAGACGAGTGGCGGGATGAGCGGTGGATAGTTGTCACTGGACGAGCAAACATTTCACTGGATGGGACTGTAACTACGAGCACCTAACTACGGGCATGTAACTAAACCGGAGAAATGTAATTGTTACCAATATAATTGTAATTGTAATTAATATAATTAATTGTAATGTTAGTCACTACAATAATATTGGTCACTTTAGGAATGTAAAATAATAATATTGGTCACTGATGGATATACTTATGATATTAGTCCTTATATTGTTTGTCACTGTAGCATTGTCGCTGTATAGCGTAATTGTCACGGTAGTAATGGTGGTTATTGGAATCGGTAGTAACCGAGACGGTGATCACTGGAGCGACAGTAACTGGACGGTGCCACTGGAATGATTGTAATTGAGATGATGTCACTAGAGCGGAGATAACTGAGATAGTGACCTTAAGCGATAGTTGTAACTTTGATGATGTTCACTTGAATAATTGTCACACAATTTCTCATATCCGAATTTGTATCTTCATAAATGAAATTAAAATAATAAAACATTAACTTTTATTGGTAAGCTTAATATTATTATTTTACATTCCTAAAGTTGCAAATTTGAAACTGTAATAAATTAAAAAAGAAGAGTAATGCCTACAATTTGAAACGGTATTAAATTTGAAACGTATCACGCATGCCTACAAGGTCGTTGATGTTTCGTGTGTGCCGTGAGATTAATTCCAATTGTATTACCTACAAGGTCACTTTTTTGGCTTTTTATAATTAGACTCACTTTTTTGGAATTGGGCCTGTTAATAGTAATATTAGTGTCCCTTTCCCAAAATAATATGAAAAGATATATTACCAACTACCAAATGCCTCCGTTTGTAGTTTTTGAAGAACTGCCTGAGTATGAAGGCTAGATGTTTTTTAAGCATAGAGAGAAGAGAAGATCTGTTCGGTCTTGGAACAATGTAATTATTGATTTATAGCATTGTTTCGTTCGTTCTTTTAGGAAAAAAGTAGGCATGAGACGAGGGCATAAAAGGATAAATTCTAATCGCCTAAATCAAACGCTGCTCCCCTCATTGTTTCGTATTTTGGCTTCTTCGGACCAATCAGCCATATCTACAAGCCAACTACCAAACATTAACTTTGGCTTCTTCGGTCAAACATCTGTTTTGAGTCAAACAAGCTAAAAAATGGCTGATAAGCCGTTTGCCAAACAACCCATAGTTTTATATGGCCTCTTCATTAATCCAAATTCACCCATTTTTGACCATGTTTTTGGGTGGAAAATGGACATTTCCCCATTTATTCGGTATAACTTAGTGCGAAGAATATGTATTAAGCTTTTCTCATACTAGTATTATACCCGTGTGATGCACGGGACATTAATATATTTATATTTTGTACTACTGTCTTCGTCTCAGAAAATTCTTTCCACTTTGACTTGGGACGGAGATTAAGAAAGTTGAATAAAGTGAAAATATGTGGTTGTAGTTGTGTAAAAAAAGGTGAAATGAATGTGAACCACACAAATTGTCCAAAAATGATAAGTGGGAAGAATTTTTTGGAATGACCAAAAAGGGAAAGTGGGAAGAATTTTATGGGACGAAGGGAATATTTGGTTATTAAAATATGCTGAACAACCTCCAACTTTAATCTCAAAAGAATTGGGGACGACTATGCCATGCGTGAGACACTAATTTGTTTGGATTTAATAGTTTTGACTACACAAATAAGGTTTTAAAAATGGAACTATATATTCTAAATCATAGAGAATTCGAATCTAAATAAATGTAATCGAAAGTAAGCATAGTGATATTTGAAGTTCAATTGAATTAAAATTTCAGAGGCAAGTTTTACGTTGACTTGGTTGAGTTATGATTAAGAAATATAGTTCAATTATAGTTTTGATACCCAATCTTTAGTTTAATTGAAAATTTAGAGAACTTATAAAATGCTTAAGAAGTATTTGTTGTTATTCAGGTAATATTTACTTGTAAACTTACGTGAGTTAATTTTTTTACTCAAAAATAATTATTAGTACTGAACCACGAACACATTATAGTCCATTATCACATTTAGAAGTAATTTAAGTAATCTATTTTTACTGCTGAAGTGTTACATGGTGACTCAAAGTGAGGTAAAAGAGGATCTTTTAAAAGAAGCGGGAAATAAAATGCTCACACGCAAGTAAACATTATTTTAGGATTTTATGTTTTCTTGGTTATGTAAGGTATACACTATTTATATTATACTCTGTAATACTAAGAACCTTGACATGTATTATTTCTTTTCAAACAAAAGTTAATTAAGAATCAGTTTTTCATGTCAATGTCTACTCAATTATAATTTCAAAGATAATTAATCATAAATTCACATGTTTCTTAAACTTTACATTAAATAACAGAAAATGAGTTTACTTTTACTTATAGAAGTCATTTAGACTTAATTTCTTATCAGAATGTGCATAGTTTATATTGAATACGAAATACGAAGTATATTCCAATGTGTTGGGAATGATTTGGTTGTTTCTGAACAGAGGATATCCCCAAATAGTTCTTGTGGTATCCATCTGCATCAACCATCTTTGCCCTTAGTTCTTCAAACTGCAAAAAAATTAAATCGAAACTTGTTAGACCTACACAAAAAGCAAATGAACTCAACCATATCAATAACGATGAGATTTAATGACATGTTTAAATAATTTTAGTAAGAACTAAAGTAGAAATATACAGCCTGGTGTTGAAAGAGTAAAAATTATCTGCTGTGAATTTGTGGAATGATTGAACGTAATGATGCTCACTTGTAACATATATACAGGTTATTGGACAGTTGATTAAGTCGGTTTCAATAGAACTTGGTGGGTTAACTGTCAAATGATAGATCAAGCACGATTACACGTCTTGTTGCTCAGCATGGACACGTAATGTATGCTGACTGGCTATGCAAACAAATTTCCTTCATATGTAGTGCCGATAGTTTAGTCAGGTGCAGCAAACTGTATTTTAGGCGGGAACAGTTGGATCCCTTTATATATATATAAAGATGTGGATTAATAACATTATACCCCCAATCTATTATGTAAAGTTTCTGAAATAGGATTAAAACAGTTTGCAAATTCCAAAATAAGATTGTCATGTTTTTTTATTCCCAAAATAGGAGTATTACTGACAAGTTCGGAAAATACTGCCACGTTTGAAGTCTGGTACTGCCAAAACATAGCAGTAATTAGTTCTATTTTGGAAATAAAAACATGGCAGACTTATTTTGGAATTTTCAAATCTTTTTAGTCCTATTTCGGGTAATATTCTTGATGGATAGTCTACCCGGGGGTATATATCCGAAGGGTTACTACGGGGAGTAACTTAGAGAGAAGTCAGAGCAAGTAAGTAAGAGAGAGAGTGTATATTCGGTATGTATTAAGCGTGGTTACAAATGGGGAAATGGGATGCTATTTATAGTAGCAATAAATGCCGGGTAGGGACACGTGTCAGGCGCTCATTGGCTGAGGGGTCACCTCTACTGGTTGGCGCTGGCAGCCGCATGTGGCCGCATTTAATGCGGCTGTTGGATGGGACGTCTGTGCAGAGTACGATGATCTGTACGCATGTGAAGCGGATATCTTGTCGAGTGAGATGCCTTCGGCTATAGAGCAGTAGCCGAGGGATCTCCCTCCCGATGGCACCCCTGGTGCCGAGGGCTTACAGTGCCGAGGGCTGCTGTTTTTGCCGTTTTCTCCCAGTTTCTTAGTTTGCTTGGGAAACCCGCTCTGTGACAATTTGGAGCCTTCGGCCAGGGGGCCGAAGGCACCCCTGTGCGTTGTGCGGACTGCTTGGTACTCTGGGCGCTGTGATTTGGGCCTGTTGGGCCTGTTGGGCCTTTGGTGGAGTGGTAGGAGTCTGTGGGCCGGGGGTTCCCGGGCCATATACTCCATCAGGAGTCCCTCACTCCTTTTGCCGAAAGGTACTTGAGGGAAAAGGAGTAACTTGCGCTTGCCCTTTGATGTTGTCCCGTCGTGATGCCTGAAGTTTGGTGAGGATTTGTTGTTTTTAGGTCCCTGCCGAAGGCAGTCCCTCAGTTACCCACATGTCGGGACTTGAGGGCTTGCTTTGTTGTTTGTTGGAATTTCACAGATTTTGTAATTTAATGATTTTCCCGAAGGGGTCCTCCAGTCCCCCACTCCTTGAGGCATTTGTAAAGTGGTGAAAAGGAGTGAAGTAGTTATGTTGCTGTTGTGGGCCGAAGGCTGACGCTTTTCGTTTCATTTTGGGGGGATGCCTCGTTAAAAACCTCATTAGGAAAAACCCTTTGGGAAAAAATCCTAATGAGGGAAAAAGAGTGCACCGAATTCCCCCAATGATGAAGCGAAAATGTCAAACCTTCGCAAAAAATGGAGAATGGCGGGAATGCCGAAGGCTCTCTCTTCTGAGGGCTCCTGTGTTGATTAGCCGAAGGCTTTCTGTTGATGTCCTGGTGGTGCCGAAGGGGAGCCCCTCAATCCAGGGACCGAGGGCCTGCCAGATGAGGGCAGCAAGTGAAGTTGTTACCGGGGGGCCCACTGTTTGTTGATGAGTTGGTGATGAAGATACCTGAGGGCTCCCATTACCTGTGTGCCATGGGCCATCCGTCAATGAGGCACTCCCCGGGGGCTACCCGGTTTTGTAGTGCTGAGGGGGAATCCCCGAGGGGGTGTCCTGATATGAAGCCCTGGGTCTCTGAAGGAGTGATCCCGAAGGCGTCTGTTATGTGCTGTGTGGGGCGCAACCCGGGGGCACTTCTGAGTGATTGTACCCGGAGGCTGTCTTTGATGAAGTGGAGTGAAGTAGAAAACCCGGGGGCTTCCAGAATATAGCCGTTGGAAATATAGCCGTTGGAATACGTAACGACGGGATATAGCCGTAGGGGGGATGGCACACGTGGCGTGTGATGGCTGGTTGTTCGTGGGCGGCGTCACCGGTTGGGTGAAACGACGGCGCGTAATGATGGCGTCCATCCGGAGGCCCGGAACCCAGGCCCAAGCCCGGATTCCAGCGCCTATAAATACCCCAAGGCCAGGCATTCCTCCGTGTGCGATAAACTTGTTAGCGAAGCTCTGTCAATTTTTCTAGAGAGAGAAAGTTCAGCCTTCGGTCCAAAACTCAGCTTTCGAGGTCAGTGCTCCCTGCCTTTCTCCTCCTAGCATAGCTGTACTGTGCCCTTAGTTTAGGAGATAGAAAAGTTAGGAAACACTACCGTCTACGAGCCCTCGAACAAGAAAGCGAATGTCGTCCCAGAGTGACTCTCAGGACATCTCGGGGACGCCCTCGATGGAGGATGAAGGCATCTCCGATGTGGAGTCAAGCAGTGATCAGCCCTCGGATTGTGGTGATGCAGCCCTCGCCACTGAGGTGCAGAAAGATCTGACGGCTGAGGCCGAGGCGGAGGAATTCGAGCGAACTGCCGAGGATGAAGAGTTGGCCCTCGCCGTCCAAGTTGCTGAAGAGGAGGAGGAGAAGGAGAGGGCGAAGGTCACTGTGGCCGTCCTTCCCCCTCGGGGTGCTGGTGAGGCCAGTACTTCCCAGCCGCTGAACGCGGTTCCCATCCGGGTGGCCCCCGGGAAGAAGAAGGCCAAGGCGGCTGTCCCTAAGAAGAAGGTCATAGCTGCTGATCAGGGGAAGCCCGTAGATATGCCGGAGGGGTATTCCTGGCTCAACACGGCTGCCCTGGAAATAAAGTCGAAGGCGGACAGGGCGGACCTCTACGTGACGCAGCTACATGTAGGGCCCTCGGCCGAGGTGGTCGAGCCGGGAGTTGACGATGTGCTCTCTCGGGCGCCCGAAGGGTGCATTGCAGTACACGTGCTGTCGGTATCCATGGGCCTTCGGTTCCCGCTGTACCCCTTCCTCCGGGAGTACCTGAGGTTCGTCGGCTTGGTGCCCTGCCAGCTGACACCTAATAGCCATTCCTACGTGGCGGGTTTCCTAAATCTCTGTAGGGACCGAGGGGTGACCCCCAGCCTGGACTTGTTCTTCTAGAGCTTCAACCTCTGTCGAGGGGGTCACGCGAATGCGGAGGGCTTCGCCAACCTGCAGCAGATGGCCAGGTGGAAGCTGTTTACGGAGGCGCCTTCGTCAAACAAGGGCTGGAAGGAGCGCTGGTGCTATGTCAGGGTTGCTGAGAACCCATTCCCGGCGGAACTTCGGGATCGCTTCCGTCGGCATCCGAAGGTTGGAAGTGCCGCCCTCGAAAAAGACGGCCTGGTGATAGCAAAAATTCCGGAGGGTCGCACCAAGCAGGTCTCCATTAAAGACTATACTGCCGACAAGGGATTCTACGCCCTCGGCTTTCGCAGATACCGGTTTATTGGTGAAGCGGATGAGAAGTACCCCGTTTTTGCTGAGGCCTTCGGGGGGACGGGAGGTAGTCTACAAGGTCCCTTAGCACATAGCTTATCCTGTTCGTTTTTTTTTTTATTTATTTATTTTGTTCTTTGTGCCTTCGGTCAGAGTCCCCTCGATTCTAACCCCATTCCTTTGTTTCTTCGCAGGTGTCCCAGTGAAAATGATGAATGTTAGAGGCCTTGCAGACTTGAAGAAGAAGAAACCCTCCAAGGGCCCGAGGGGGACGGACGCCGGTGTCCCAAAACCCGCCGATGACTTCTTCAAAAAACCGGAGGGGCCGTCGGCGGGCCCAAGCGCTGATGCTGCTGCTGCCGCCAAAAGGAAGAGCTCGGGCAGAGATCCCGAGGGCAAGAAGCCCAAGACCGGGGATACCGGGAAGAAATCCCCCCCGGTGATCATTGTTGATGAAGGCCCTGCCCCCGGGCCAGATGAGGACATGCAGGTGGGGAAGGTGCCGTCGGGAGTTCAGGGGCCATCTTCCGAGGTCCTCATGGTTTCCCTCCCGGCTGGTACGGCCGTGATGAATGGTACCGCCGACCCGAGGGCGCTTCTGCGAGGCATCACCCTCGAGATTGACAGGGTTGCCCTCGGGGCTGATGAAGACGAAGCCCTCGAGGACAGGATCCTCCGGTCCTCCCTTACAGTAAGTCTTTCACGCTTATTTCTTTCCGTTTTACTTGGAGCTTAGAAACCATATTTGGCCTTGCTAACCCCTTTGTTTTTGTAGACCTGCATTGCCCTCGGGGAGCAAGCCCGGCGGCTAGAGGAGTGGCGCCTTCGCAAGGCCGAGCAGGAGGCCAAGATGCGGGAGCTCATCCGCCAGAATGCAGACGCTGTGCGGCAGATGGCCATGCTGGAGGAGAGCCTTCGGCAGATGACCCTGCGAGCGGAGGCCGCGGATCGGGGTAGGGCAGAAGCCGAGAGGTCCGCAGCTGAGGCCTTGGAGAAGGCTGCCAAGGAAGCCGAGGCCGCGAAGGTTGAAGCCGTCGAGAGAGCCCGGGAGGACGCAATCTCGGGGTTCTTGGCAGGGGGATGGCGGTCCGAGGAGCACAAGCAATGGCTGTCCTCGGTCGTCGAGTCCTCGGTCGACGAGTGGTGCGATGGGCCTGGCGTGGAGTGGGTTTCCCGAAAGGGTAAACAATACTACGATGGGGGCGAGTTCTTCACTCAAGCCCTCATCTATCGGAGGATGGCTCGCCACTTGAAGATCGAGCCAAAGGACTTTGACCCGGCAGCATACGGGCTCCCCCCCTGCAGCCAGACATCCGCGTTCCCCTTCCCCCCGATGTCGAGAGGCCAGACCTAGAGGACTCTGAGCTCATGAAGGAAGCCGAGGGCGACGAACCTGAGGCCGACGCAGAAGTGACCTCGAAGCCATCGGGGGAGGCGGCCCCCGGGAGTAACATGATTTGATATGTACTTTTTATCACGTAAACATACATTTGTAATGATGACATTATTTATCCCTCGGCTTCGGCCTGCTTGTAATAGTAACATCGCAATTACACTTGCTTTCTTTTTGATGATTGAATGATCGCCTTCGGGCTTTGTATATATGACTTGTTCCCTTCGATTCCTTTATTCTTGGATGTATGCCTTCGGCATTTTTGAATGTATGTGTTTGTTCCTTTGAATGTATGTCTTAGGATTTAGAATACTATCTGATTGTAGCTAGCCCTTGGGAACCTTCGGTAGTTGGGCACCCTCTGCTGGACATACAACCGATGGTTCGGCAGCAATTAGGACTTAGAAATTTTTTTTTCTAAGTGTAGCACAGCATGAGGCCTTCGGGCATTTGTAGTAACCCACCTCCTAGGACTTAGAAAAATCTCTAAGTGTAGATTCCCCCTTGAGAGCCTTCGGGATATGGCGCCCATTCCTTATGTGTGAATGTTGGACCGAGGGCCCAATGCACAGGACTTAGAGATTTTTGGAAGTGTAGTATGCCATGTAGCCTTCGGCTACTGTGGAGCCCCACCTGTAATATTGAATAGGCCGGGGGCTAATTCTTTTAGGACTTAGAAGATTTCCTTGAGTGTTGATTCCTTGTGAACTGTAGCCCTCGATTGATAGGTAGCCTTCAGCAATTAGGTCCCTCGAGATGAGGGGGAAATATGTAGGACTTAGAAAATCTTCTAAGTGTAGAGTTTCCCTTGGGAGCCTTCGGGAGATGGCATCCCTTCATGATGTATGAGTAGTTGACCGGGGGGAAATATGCAGGACTTAGAAAATTCTTCTAAGTGCAAAATCTCCCTTGGGAGCCTTCGGGAAATGGAATCCCTCCTTGATGTATGGCCTTCGGCTGTCACACTCCTCTAGCTGCAATACTAATTGAGCCGGGGGCCCATCTTTAGGACATAGAAATTTTCTTTGTTTGCAAGTGTTGTTTGTATTGCATAGCCTTCGGCCACCATATTCCCTTGGCTGTAATATTGATTGGGCCGGGGGCCCAATCTTTAGGGCTTAGAATTTTTTTCAAGTGCTGCTTCCCTGTGTAGCCTTCGGGTGACCGGGGGCTGCTCCTTCAGGACATCAATGTTTCTAAGCATAAATTGATGTTGAATCCTGTTGTTGTGAAGAAAGCCATTGAGGAGTGTGTGCCCTCGGCATACACTTCAAAAGTTGTAGAATTTGACCCTTGTCATGGGACCTTTGTTTGAGTGGTATCCTTCGGGAAATATGAGCCTTCAGTAACCGGGGGTGTTCCCGTGGGGAGCCCTCGGTTTGTTGTGATCTGTTGGAGTGTACTCTTTGATTTCTCGCTAAGTCTACTCCCCTTCACCCCCTTTTTTTTTTTTTTTTTTTTGGTTGGTGGTGAAGGAAAGGCATCAAGAAACTTGGTTTCTTGGTAAGGCTGGGCCTATTAGGAGACCATCAGAATACACCAATGGCTCTCCTCCCTCGGGTTAACCTTCCGAGTGCCGAGGGGATCGAGGGACGTTTCCTGGGCACAAGATATGGTGGTCCGTAACCTGCCTCCCCTTGGGGGATGGCGCGGAAAGCGCCTCATTTTTGAAAGTCGTCCCCTCGGCGCTAGACATAGTCTGTGGCCTGCCACACCCTTGGGGTGGTGGCGCGGGGAGCGTTTCGGTTTGGAAGTCGAATCCTGGGCATTTCTCATGCCTGTCATACCCTGGGGGTAATGACGCGGATAGCGTTCCGTTTTTGAAAGTCGAATCCTGGGCATTTCTCATGCCTGTCATACCCTGGGGGTAGTGACGCGGAAAGCGTTTCAAGGAAGGGTTTTCATTTGCACACTAGTTACAAATGGCCGGGGGCACTACGTGCCGCCGGCACCGATGGTGGCGCCTTCGGTATATGCGTCCTCGTGGGGTACGGCTTTAGAAACAACACTTGGTGTTAGTTTCGATGTGTAGCCCCCGGTACTTGGTACCGAGGGGTCTTCTGTTGGAACACTTGATGTTCTGTAGGAACACTTGGTGTTCTCTTTTATCGTAGTTGATGGAGGTGCCTACCCTCGGTACTTGGTACCGAAGGGTCTTCAAATGAAACACTTGGTGTTTCCCGACAAATGTTTGGAAGTTGATAGGAGAGTATATCCCTGGCACTGGGTGCCGAGGGGTCTTCTGTAGGAACACTTGGTGTTCTCATCTCTTCTTTTTTGGTGTTGAAGGTGGGGATGTGCCCTCGGCACTGGGTGCCGAAGGGAAATGAATTACATGGCGTTCTTTGTTGTTGGTGATAGGAGTTCCCTCCCTTGGTACTTGGTGCCGAGGGGTCTTGACTGAAAACACGTGTTGTTTTCACTGATGTTGTAGGTGTTGAGGCCTGGGGCCTGTAGTCAGTATGAAGGCTTGATGTCTTGAATGTATCTTCATTCTTCGAAATTGGAGGCCTTGGGCCATAGGATGGTACATTCACTCTTTATGAGGGCTTGGCCGCTCTTACATTATTGATAAAATTTAACTAAATGGTGTACATTCCAGTGCCTAGGGACTTCTTTCCCATTGGGGCGTTTGAGCTTGTAGGTCCCGGGTTTGATGATGGCTGCTATGATGTAGGGGCCTTCGAATTTTGGTGCCATTTTTCCTCCCTCGGTTGGTTGGCTGGCTTCCCTCCTCCGGAGGACATAGTCCCCCACTTGAAATTCCCGGGTCCGAACTTTGGCGTCGATGTAGCTTTTAACTTGCCTTCGGTAGTTTTCTGCCCGGATGAAGGCCTGCTCCCGGCGTTCTGAAATGAGGTGCAGGTCGAGGGCCATGTTGCTGTCGTTGACCTCGGGGTCATATTGGATCACCCTTCGGGTAGGAAAGGTGACTTCCGTAGGAGCTTTGGCTTCGAAACCGTAGCAGAGGGAGAAGGGTGTTTCACCTGTAGCTCGCCGAGGGGTGGTGCGGTAAGCCCAAAGAATGTTGTGAAGTTCTTCTACCCAGCCACCGCCCTCGGCCTCCAGCTTCTTTTTGAGGCCCTCGAGCAAGGTCCGGTTGGCGTTCTCTACTTGCCCGTTGCCTTGAGGGTAGGCAACGGAGGAGAAGGTGTGTTTGATGCCCCATGCCTCCAGAAGGGCACAGAAGGGGGCTGCCTCAAATTGTGTCCCATTGTCGGAGATGATCTGCTAGGGGACGCCAAACCTTGTGAGGATGTTCTTGAGGACGAAGTGACGGCATTTTGCCTCCGTGATGCTGGCGAGGGGTTCAGCCTCCACCCATTTGGTGAAGTAATCGACGGCCACAATGATGTACCTGTTGTTGGAGGTACCCCTCGGCAGAGGGCCCACAAGGTCTATCCCCCATCGAGAAAAAGGGACAGATGTGCTGATGGGGGCATAGTTGACAGCTGGCCTGCCGGGGGCTTTCTGGAAATGTTGACACGCGGTGCACCTCCGGGCAAGATCAGCACAATCCCTGGCCATGGTTGGCCAGAAGTAACCCTGGAGAATGAGCCTTCGGGACATGGAGAAGGGTCCCTGGTGAGCTGAGCAAGTGCCACTGTGTACTTCCTCCATTGCGACCTCGGCTTCATCTGGATGAAGGCACCGAAGTAGCGTGCCATTGTAAGATCGTTTGTAGAGCCTCCCATCTTCGATGGTGTAGCTGGGAGCCCTCAGCTTTGCCAGTTTAGCGCGGGCCTCATTCTCGGGTAGCTGCCCTGTGGAGATGAAGGCGGTGATATCTGAGATCCAATCCTCCTGACGTTGTTGTATGTTCATCACGGGGCTTGCATGGATGCTTGAGAGGCTGAGTTCCTTGATTTTGGCAATTTTGGAGATGTGCTCGGGGGAGTCTGCCGAGAGCTTAGATAAAATGTCGGCCTCGGAGTTCTGAGCCCTCGGTATTTGGGTGAGAGAGTGTGCCTCAAATACCCTAAGCAACTCCTTGGCCGCCTCTTTGTACTGCTTCATTCTGCCCTCCTTGGCCTCATATTCTTCGGAGATTTGGCCAACGACCAACTTGGAGTCGCACTTGATGTGGATCTGCCGAGCCCTCATGTTGGCAGCCAGTCGAAGGCCACATAGGAGGGCCTCATATTCGGCCTCTTTGTTGGAGACCTTGAAGGAGAAGCGGATTGCATAGTAGGCCCTGAAGCCCTCGGGCGTAATGAGGACTACCCCTCCTCCGCATGCTTTGGTCGCGGAGGAGCCATCAGTGTAGAGGGTCCACCAGTCGTCCGAGGCAGCCGAGG